ATTTTTTACAGTGAGGGTGGTGAAGTGATGGAATGGATTGCCCAGAGAGGTAGTGGAGGTCCCATCCCTAGAAACATTCAAGGTCAGGTTGGACGGGGCTCTGAGCACCCTGATCTGGTTAAAGCTGTCCCTGTTTATTGCAGGGGGGTTGGGCTGGGTGGCCTCTAAAGGTCCCTTCCAAGCCAAAGCATTCTGTGATTCTAAACTGCCCTGTCCTGTCAGAGGCACCTTTATTCCCCTGGAAATGCTGAAAGACATTTTTCACATGTACACACCACTGGCATGGAAAAGCTCTTCTATAGATATTTCTACCCTACCTTGATTTAGGACCCCTCCTTCCCTTTTCACTACCTACATCACATTCTGTAGCTGGGATTTTCAAGGATTCATCAAGAATCCTTTGCTGTCATGTAATAAAAGTGAAACTTGAGCTAATAAGTTATGGCAGCTTAATGGGGCTATGGATTTTATGGAGTTATTCTGAGATTTTCATTTGCCTGCTTATACAAATACAGGCATGCCTTATCACTCTCTGTGTATGAAAGCCTTTTTCTCTGTATATCTTCCATGAGTCTGAGACCAAGCTCCAGCCATGAGGACGTCCTCATACCTTTTGATTACTCTTGTCATTTTAATTTTCTATGATTTTCGAGGTAAACCTGGGAGAGTGCTAAAGAACCAATCCTATCATTTCAAGGAAGGTGTCCAAAAGTGCTTCAATTATTTAGGAGCCTGGGAGAATTTTAAACAGTGCTTAGGAGCAGTTCTTCAGTTGTGCAGAGTATAACAGCACCCCTGACTCCATGGGACATGAAACTCAACCCATATAATGGAATGATCAAAACTGAAAGCCAGGAAGCTTTGAAGGTCACCATAAGCAGGCAGTGCATCAGTTTAGGGAGCACTGTTGTGTCCTGTAAGCTTTCTTGCTGAAGATTAATCCATAGCTATGGTACAATGTGGCATTAAACACCCTTTAAAGTTATGCCATTTCCACAGATTGTCGCTGGTTTGGGTGCAAGAAATGTTTTCCAGGTCTCAGGAAAACTCCCATTGAAAGCTGGGCAGGAGAGAAAGTGCTTCTGGACTACATGGTCCTCCATGCTTAGAGAACCCACCTGCAAAGTGAAAGATCTGGGGTAGCATTGTGGTCTCCACAGATCAACAGCTTGATATAGGCACCTGTGTGCAGTGAGATGCCCTAGTGTACCTGAGATACCATCTCAAGGGGGCAGATGGGACACAGACCCTGTGGGACAGCTTAAAACCTTCTAGATGGGCAGCATGAGCCTGGCAGGGTACCATGGCCCACCTCAAAGAGCGCTGTGCTCCCATATGCAGATATCACAGTGGAGCCCACAGGCTGTACGGCGCATGGGGTCTAGAGACCTATTCAGCAGCTCACATGTGTACATCGCAGTAGAGGTGAGCTGAGTTGACTCTGCTGACTGCCCTGCCTCACTCTTCCCAGCAGGCTTCATCTGCCTAAACATAGGTACTTGATGCTCTTAGTGAACCCTTGGTTACCTGGGGTACTCAAGACATTTGCACAGGGTGAGGAGGTATGCTACTGGCCAAGCCTTATACCCAAGGGTGCCTAAAACATCACTAGATGATTACTCTGTGGCCACAGAAATCCCCTACCCACTTTAATCCCCTACTTTCTTTAATGCAGAAGGAACAGCAGGAGACATCATGAGAGACTTGCTCCAGAAGAGCCTGTTGGCTAAGGCAGTGTGGAAAACTAACAGGAGAGAGTTTTAGACCTAAGTCTGCCATGTCTCTGAGGACTACCTCAGGCCATTAGCCATCGAGAGTAGACCCCGGATCCTTTCTTAGTTAAGAAATAATAGTTTGATGCTTGTATGAAGTTTGCAACAATTTGGCCCTGAAGTTGTGAAGGGATCTGCAAACTGTTTGCAGGTATTCGTTACATTTATTAAATAATTCTGTAGAGAAAACAGCGTGGGTGATATATCTGTTGGAGATGCTGTTCCTCAGCTTTTTTCTACATACATAAGACAGGCTGGAGTTTGCTTCTTTTTGCTGCTTAAAAGCCTGGATAAAACTAAGGCAGCACCATTTCATGGGGGCCTTTCTAAAGACCCAAGTCTCATTTCCATTGTGTCTTACACCTGCACAGCGCAGAAAGTTTCCTTGCAGTATGAACGGGAATTTTCACATTAAGTGAAATGATGTTTGGGTTTTTTTCAATGGCAATTTCATGGCAATGACTTGGAGAAGTCCCAGTTCACTTCAGTCAAAGTCAAACTCATTTCTGTTCTCCAGCTTGATGCGTCGCTCAGAAGTTCAGCTATGCGTGCAACACAGGCTGTAGATTACTTGCAGGCAACCTAACCACAGACCCATTGATCTGATAACATTTTGTGCCAATCTTTTCTCATCAGAGTACAAAATGTTTTCTATGTGCAGGCAGCAGGACTTGGGATGTCTTGGACACTTTCCAGTGTGATCTAAGAGGAAGCTGCAGACATTACTCTCACGTAAATGAGTATCTGATCAGAAGCTGCTTCTATAACAAATACAGATACTGTAAGAAATATCCAGGAATATTCTATGTTCCCAAAGAATAAAGAAAAGAAAAAGGAGGCATGTTCTTAGCTTCAAAGATATCTCCGCTCTTTAACTTAGGCTCCTTCATGATTCTTCAATAAAAGGATTTTTCTTCTATTTTTGGTGTTGAGTATATGCTTTCCCTGTTTTCCTTCTGGAGTTACCTTCTCACACTGCTAGATGCAATAACTTGGTTTAAGGGGAAAAATTCCAATTTTATCCACTATAGATATAACAAATTAAGACATGTTGTTCTGACAATGTGCCAGATTTCTGTATCTCACACAAAGGAGGAGGATTAATATTTTACTAAGATTGTATTTTATTTTGTTAACCAATATTTTATTAAGCTTCTGCTGTAACTCATATTTGTCAAAATGACTGAGAAAAAAATACATACATATCATTCATGAAATATTCCCAGTTTGTCTGAAGACAATTATGTGGATGACTTAACAATTTTGATTAATGTGCAAGATTAAGAGTTTGGGAAAAAAAAAAATCTTCTACAATTCACCTTACCAGAAGTTTTAGTATAGTTTCTCAGGCAAGTCTCTCAAAAGGGAAAAAAACTAAACCAGTTGGGTATCTAAATCCATACGTATTCAGATACATGAAACTAGATATCCAAACATGAAAATTAGGGGTAGGCTTGCTCTTTACAAATAAATACGGATTTTATTACACCAAGGCAAGCTGTAGATGCAGCTTGCATTCACTGCAACAATTCATATGGAAGAAAGACTTTTCAGGGCTGTTTCATACAACACTGCTGGATAAGAGGATGTTATTACTTTTTTTGTTGGACAGCTCTGTAGCTAGGATATGTGACACCCTGCTCCAGTTCTGTTTTTCCCTGGGGTACTTAAAACCATTAATGCTCTTTTTCAGACTATCAAGTACTAAAGAAAAATGTTCATTTTACTTTCTTTACCCTGTTGAATGTGGTATAAAAAAAATTCATACATCTACTGGAGTAGGGACAGTACCCCAGGTCTCCTGGCTTACACAGGGAATGTCCTGGCTGACACAGCGGTGTTTTGGGACAAGATTCCTTGCTACTAGAAGTGCTTTATTTTGTATTAAACCTTTTGATCATTGCATCACAAAGCAGGACCTTACAAATGATTCTACAACCTTCTTTTTTTTTTCTTTTTTTTTCTTTTTTTCTTTTTTTCTTTTTTTTTCTTTTTTTTTCTTTTTTTTTTTTTTTGTTTTTTCTACAAAATGACCACAACCGAAGTTCACAATTGAGAAGAACATTTAGCAATTGACCCAGTGGTCCACACATAGAGTCGAGAGACATTTGAGAGGCCCTGTGACATTAGAAATGTTGATATCTGCCTGGGGCTGACAGATATCATGCAGGAGCTATGGGGGATCTCCACCCTCATGGAGAAGCAGATGGAGGCCAGGTGGGTCCCTGAGACATCTTTAATGACAATAGATGCTCTTAGCTCTGGACTTGGCCAGCTAAGTATAAGAGTCTACAGTGCAGGTTTCTGCACGTGTATTGGTTCGTAAGGTCCCACTATAGCTAAACAGGTGGCCTGAGTCCTAGAACCACTAATTAAACATCTCATTCCCACACAGCCACATCCATTGTAGATGCCTACATCTTGGTATCTGAGTGTAGCACTGACCACCGCCATTGAGCTTCAGTCAGTTGACCACACGAGTGTCCAGTGCCATTTTAAATAAGTTAGACCATACACACGGCCATGCATTTACCACTCTAGTTATATGCAGATGTCTCAGAGGTCCTGTGTCTTACCAGGTAGTCCCATGAGATTCTTTGGATACCCTACAGCAGCCCACAGAAGTTAGGCCTATATATTTGGGCAACTGAATTGAGTCCATAATATCAACCAACTAATATTTTCAGAAAGAAAACTGGTTATTTAGTTGGTTCAAATTGCATTTTTCAGGTAGGGAAATAATGCAAAAAATCATTTCTTTGCCTTAGTGAATGGAGACTGCAGACATTGCAGCAGCACCTTAGCAGCATCCTCTGCTATACTCAAAATCATCAACAGTCTTCTGATATTCCCAGGTGCCTTCTCTCCCACCACAACAATGGCTAATTTTCTCTGGGTGGTCCATTACCAACCACCTTGACCTTTGAAGGTAACAAGTAATGAAGCTCTCTGGGTGGGTTGGTATTGAGAAGCAGCCTTCGCAGTGGAGGGGTGGGGAGGTATAGTTATTTCTCCACTTGCTTTTGTGACCCTCTGCCATTGTTCAGGTTCAGCTGTGCGCAACGGTCAAGCTGTACTCATTGCCTTCTGCACTCACCACTGCCAAGGTCCCCCGGAGAGCCAGGTCTGTTCCCACAGCCCTATAAATGCAAGAGTGCTCCCTCCTCCCCTGCGCAAAGGTTCTGGCGTTGTGGCTCTGTCTCCACGCTGCAGCTGAAACCTTCCACCATGAAGCTCTTCTCGTATCTCATGGCTCTTCTCCTCTTCCTCCTTCAGGTTGTTCCAGGTAAGGAGCAAGACCCACGCTGAGGTCTGCCTGTGTAGGAGGTACAACTAGCTTGTGCAATGGTGCAGGCTGTACTCCTCCAGGCTCTTCAGCTCCTTTCATTACAGCCATTCCCTATTTCTCAGTCTAGAAGCAAAAGTGAAAAATTAATCTATGATGACCAGATGTCAAACCAGAACCTCCTCACAGAAGTCACTACCAGGTGTTGGCTCCTTAGGATTCTTTGAAGCCTCTTTATGCCACTTTGCAGCACTATAAGATGGTACCATGGAAATAATCTGCCTCTTCTTACCCCAGGGTCATAAATTGTCTCTTTTGTGTATGGTAGAAGAGTGGCAGAGGTGTTCCCTTGTATTACTCAAGTTGAACTACACCAGTGAAGTTTACTTAAGTTCTCTGAATATGCTCGTTCCCCTTCCTCAGCCCTTCTGCTGCATGGACTCATTTACTGATTGCGCTTTTAGCCTAGCTTTTCTTCATGCTTAATGAAACTCCCAACCATGGACTAAGTCTTTCAGAGAAGGAAGGAACTGGGCAAACCTCTTATTCCTGTTAACTGAGACAGATCCCCGCTTTTCATTTTTTTTAAGTCATAGGTACACCTCAGGTTATATGAGTACCATGCTGTCCCTTGCATGACCAACCTGCAGCATTGCAGTCCTAGAACTTAGAAGCGTCCAAAGTCTGGGCTGTCCCTACCCGCTACAACATGCATGACCAAGATATGTTCAGAAACTTGCCATCAACAGCTACATTTTTCTCTAATTGTACAAAGGCCTTCCTTGGAGTCCTGTGAGGTCCCAAAACTTTCTGAAAAGATGTCTTGGGCTTTGCCGGTATTTGTATCAGACCCCTAATTGGGGTCCATGGGGTTTCAGTAGGAGGAAGACGATGAGAAATGGACTGATCCTGCAGCACAGCTGGGAATCCCATTCTTCCTGTAGGTCTCAGCATGCCCAAAGACACCTTACGTTGCGTTGGATACCATGGTTTCTGCTTCCATTCAAAATCCTGCCCAGAGCCGTTCGCCGCGTTTGGAACTTGCTCTCGGCGTCAGAAAACCTGCTGCATAGGTATGTGTGGAAACCCTGCCCAGACAGGCAACATTTGGAGAGGAGATTACTAAAGTCAGCAAAGCACACTTGCTCTGTCTCCAAATGGCTTAAGCCACATCCTTCCATCTACAAAGATGGACCTGGCTGTTCTTCCATTAATGGCAGTGTGGAGCACAGGACAGAATTGCCATTTTGGGCTGGCCAAATACCACGTAGCCCAATGTCCTGTCTCCAACAGAACAGATGCCTGGGGAAAGAAAACAAAAACTGTGGCCCACACAGAGTCCTTCTTCCTTGATATGTCTTCCTATAATCATCTGTTGGGGGGTTACTGGCTGCATCCACACTGCTGTGTTTAACAGGTGCCAGCTGACCTCTTCCTTGTAAATTTATGTAATCCTTTATGACCTGCTTATTTTTGGAGTTCCTCAATAGTCAACACATATCATTAAGTCAATATATGTTTTATAGCCAACTGTGCTAATCAGACCTAAGGTTCATCTGATCCAGCATCCTGTGTCCATCCATGGCCAGAAGTGGATGTTTCTATGCAGTTAGTCTGTGTGTGTAAAATGACTATTAATGAACACCGTAACCATATAATTACACTTACTTACGTATTCTCCTGGCTTTTATGAATTTGCAGCTCAGGACTTTTAGATTTAAGCATCTTTGTGTTTAAAAGTCCTTGCTGGATTTTTCCCCCCTAGATTAGGAATTCCTTCTGTTTGTTTTAAAACCTCTTCCCTCATAATTTTACTCAGTACCACCTACTTCTGTACTGTAAATGAAATGTAGTCATTCTGTATCCACCTTCTTTATACCTTTACAATACCCCTCCTTCATTTGTTTCTCATCCAAGTTGGTGGGTCACAAATTCCTCTTTTTACAGAAGTGCTCTGATGACCCCTGTAGTTCTTCTTTGTGTCCTTGCTTTTGGAGACACAGTAACCAGAACTTCATGATGCTTTCCATGTATGAGTTGGTACAGATGGTGACATAATGTTTTCTGTTTTGACTTAAATCCTTTTCATTGCAGACACGACATCAAACTTCCATACTTGTCAAGATGAGGGGGGTCATTGTGTACCTACAGAAATCAAATGTCTGCAAGAACAAGTGGGACTTTGCCCTCATAGAGAATGGAAGTGCTGCACAGAAGTGTAATAAAGACCTCATGGAACTGCAGAAAACCACAGAAATGTATGGACAAGAAAACAAACAAGTTTTCTTCCTGGTGGTGTAGAGAAGAAGTCTGGTTTTCTCAACATGCAAAGTGTGTAATTAACTAGAGGTGGCATGTCTCTTCAAATAACAAAGGCAATTAATTCTAAATAAACAGGTATAACAGTCGTATATGTATGGAAAGAAGCAGAATGTCTCTCTATTATACCCATACACAGAAATCTGCAGAAACTTTGCTGTAACATCCTTGGAAACCACATTCCCTCATAATCCAAACCTCACCTCCCTCTCTTTTCTGTCTTCCTTTCTTCCTTTCCTTCCTAATAGAAGGAAAGATGATGTCTTTTCCTTCTATTAAAGCAATAGAAACAAGGATTGTCCAACTCGCATGGTCAGGCCATGTCTACACTATTCAACCCCCATTCCCCAAAGCCGGATGCCAGTCAACTGCTCTTCCCCGCCTCCTTGTTTCTATCAATAATCTACACTCGAGCACAGGTCCCACCCATAGGAAGTCTTCATGTGTGACTGGGCAAATCTATCTAAAACCATCTATCTAAAACCATTTTATGCAGTCTGTGCTTCCTTCTGTGGTAAGTTTGCATTTATTAACTGCAGAAGTTTCATTCAAAATGTAGACAAAATGTGTTTACTTCCCAGTGTCATCTCCATGTGCTCAGCAGCTCCCAGTCATGACTTCTGGCTTTCTAATTTATCCAGTTGAAGGCTGAGTAGCTGGACATCTTTACAGAGAAAAATTAGAAGGGGTGGAATTCTTCTCCCAGCCACCTAAAAATGACCCTCAGAGCACAAGCTGTGGCACCTTCCTTGGATGGGAGGATTTCAAACCCTTTCCACACAGGACAAAGCTCCTTGCATCAACAAACTTCCATCATCCTGTTGAACAGCAGAGGTGTACTTTCTGCTGGCCTGAACTAATGCAAATGGCTTGCATGTCCCCACCACACACTTCAGAAGGGTCATTCTCTAAATCAGTGTGTTAGCCATCATCCTAGTCATCCTAGGCTGCTCTTCTGGCCTACAGAGAGGAACAGATCCACTGGAAACATCATTACACTCAACCCTCACTGACCAAACAGTGACCTCCCTCTTAGCCAGCATTTAGACAAGTGAGACAACCTTGGTCGAACACTTTCTTCCTCTATTCTTAAGATGTGTGAAGTGATATTGACCTCTGCCAATGGGAAAACTGTCTTTCCATAGCTGCATCACCTCTCCATGTGACAGTCCAGGTAACCAATCAGGAACTTAACAGGGATTCTTAGTAATTGGTGATGAATGCTCTTCAAGTGACATCTCCAATCAGGTGTTCAAACTAATTTAATTAATTTTCTCCTAGGAATACTCACGATGCAAGAAATTCTTTGCACTCTTTTAATATCTCTGAGGGTGTTTTCTGCCATGTATATTGCTGGTAGTTCAACAAGTATTTTATGTAGGTGTTCCCCAAGTTTGTATCACAAATCAGGCAGGTGTGCGTGGCTTGCAGCTGGACACAGCAGAACCCTTCCTGAAGCCACATTTTTTACCTAGGATGGAGTACTAAAGGGGAAGAAAGGTTTAGAAATTATCTGAGAATTTTTTAAGCATTTTGGCTTTGACTGCCATTCGTATTTCTTGCTAGAGAAGAGGGAGGGCAATTTATGTAACTACACACAGGGAAAAAAATCTCAAGGGAGGAAAAAACCCACAAATATATAAGCATTATGTAGTAGATACCAACCCAGGCTTATCATCTGCCTAGACCAGTTGATCTGAATTATTTTAGGAGTTTTTAGTGTTAGCAACTCTTCCTCGAGGAGTCTCTGCAGGATGAGCAAGGACAGAAAGACGTGGAAATAGAAGCAATGCTGTAGATGGCTTGTCTGCTTCAGAAGTAAGTAGGAGAAGCCAATTTTCTTTCATTTTATAACAAACTGAGTTTTTGTGAAAAAACTGTGACAGTGACTATGTCTGTAAGAAGTTGATTCAGAGTTGGCAAGGGAGTCACCCATTGGAGAGTTGTCCTGAGACTTTAGATTGGGCTTGAAAAACATAATAGTTCCGCTTTCATTAAAAGAAAGTCCTGCTAGAAGGATTTTGGGGTACAAAGCTCCTTCTGCCTTGTTTCTCTGATTCCCTTCTCCTTGTCTCTCATGAGTGCCATTGAAAGTTATTTTCCAGAAAAAATTTATTTTAAAATCTTAATAGCCTAGGTGTTTCTATCTAGCCACCCACTGCTCAGCACCTGCACGTCTCACTGTCTTTCAGACAGAAAGACTCTCAGTGTGCTTAGGAGTAACAACACCGACTGCCCCTTGGGACCCCCCATGTCTACATCTACCGTGGTCTTTACCCAGCATAAATCCAACTCAAAATCTAGAGGCGCAGGCATCAGACAAGCCTTTGGGAAATGTCAAGGATGAAGTCCTGACATGCATTGCACCACTCAGGCACGTTACTGAATTGTGGACACAAAGCAAATATTGGGCTTGCTCTGGCTGTCTCTGAGGCTATGTTGTGTTTGTAAAATAAGCAAAGCCAGGCTGTGGTGCTGGAGCTGGATGGTCTATGCCAGTAAATTGTCAGTGTGGTCTTTGGCATGGTTTTGGCTGTCTCTTTCCTTTTTTTGGAGTGGGGGAGGCTGTTTTAGAGGGATGGGGATTGATGAACATGTTTAGATCAGACAGAAGATGGGAAGGAAGATAGCAGGGGAATCATTTGCAAACCAAACCCAGATGCACAAATAACCAGAGGACAGAGGTACCCTTGGGCAAACAGTTGTGCTCTGGTTCCACAAAGCATTTGGGCACATGTGTAGCCCTAAGCTCCTGAGTTTTCCTGATGACTTCAAAGCCCAAGATCATACTGCCAGTCAGTGCAAGCTGGGGACAGAGTTCAGGTCTTCCCCAACCCTTATATCTTTCAAACTGGCAACTCACTCTCAGAAAACTCGGTATATTTCCTTGCCAATTCAGTATTTGAATTGCTACAACTGCGGTAGTAAACTGAGCTGTCTCAGGGCTTCTTCTCTAGCCCTGAAGCCAAACATCATAATCTGGCCATGTCCACCTTCTCTTCTCCTCCAGAAACAGATGGCTACATCCAGACTGCCTGGTGGAAGTGATCCCTGATCCCAGATACACTTGGCAATTGTTTGGAAGAGAAATAGCTAGCCTGGACACCTTTCCAGGGATGTGCTAAGCATTTCACAGTTTGGATGATCAAATCCCAGTGCTTGTGTCCTGCCCTGTTTTGTTTACTAGTAAAACTATATCCAAGGAGTTCAAGCTTTCATAAAGGGAAGATGTGTGAGAGAAGATTAATATTCTTTTTTCATAATTAGAATTTAAAAAAAAAACCACTTTTTTTTTTTTTTAACGAAATAACCTGATTGATGGCCTACTCCATGACCCACTGAAATCAAGTGAAGTCAATGAATGGGCTTTAGTCTCTGTTCCCACTGAGTTTTTCCACATGTAAACACACCCCCACTACCACACCGGAGTCTGCCTCTCTTGTCTGGTCCCCTGACACATGGCTGGTGGCTCCATAAATCTGTTTCCCACCTCTCTGAGTGTCTTGGAGCAGTGATGTGCCCATGCAGGACTCAGTCTATGCTTGGGTGCCTGGGATATGCCAACACTGTGACCACGGTCCTGCGCAACAACATATAAGGACCAGTTAATGTTACACCATGCTCTGCTGCCGGTGTATATATATTAGGAGCAATTGGAGAAGATGTGGTGTCCTGAAAATATCCCATTCCAGCATGTAGCCATGGGAACCAGGGATCTTCTTCAAGAAATGCTCCATTGTCCATAATCAACATTATAATGACAGTAATAATGCAATTGTTTTCTTACTTTGGCATATCTTGCTTGCCTCTTACTCATTTCTAAAGGACACTTTCTTGTCTAAGACCTGGAGGTGAATTGACGTTGATCAAAGTGTGATTTACTCCCATGTGGAGCATGAAGGTTCTTCCAGAGGTGATGTGAGGACACTGTCCTCACACCAGTCCAGGACACTGGTGAATCAGGACACTGGTTCCAGACAACAGTACAGAGGCATCCAGAAAGTCTAGATCAGAAGTCGGACCTAAGTCTTCCTACGTCTTACCTATGGACTTTCACCATTAAGCCTTACTTTCATTTTCTTTCTTCTCACTGTATTTCCGTTAGTTTTAGCTTATTTTGGTTGGGTGGTGGCAGTTTGTAGTTTTTGCTAATTTATTCAAGATCTCAGCTTCCTTGAGTCATGAAGGAGGGCAATGCTCAACTTTAATACAGGAGAAAGAGGCACTGTAACTAGCAAAATAGTGGCATGCTAGAAGATTTCACCGAGGTGCAATCAGATATAAGTCAGCAAAGGATAAAAAGCCTGCTATTAGCCCCAGGTTGGGGCTTTTGTGCAGATAAAGCATGCAGGAAAGGGTACACGGTCTGCACAGTTCCCAAAGAAACTCATTGAAGGACTCACCAAGGCCACCATAACCACAGATGAAAACCCTCCCATGAAAGCAATTCACCTATCCACAAAGGCACATTGAAAAACCCAAAACATGGGGTGACCTGGGGGTGTGAAAGAGACCCATGGCTCACATAGACTGGTGGAGGACAAAGTCCCAGAGGCTGCAGCTCTCCAGTCACAGGTTTATTATTTCTCAGAAGATCCTGGGTCAATGCCAAATGAAAAGGACTGCGCTCAGATTAGCAGACGGGTGTGCATCCACTGACTGTTATGTCATGAGGTGGTTTTAAAGCTAGCACCATGTTCTTCCAGCTTTTCTAAGACACACACAGCCATTGCTGGCTGCTCTCCATGGACCAGGGTTATCCAGGGCCGGGAGGAGCGGCTCATTGAGGTATATACCCCAACTCTGCCAAAGAGGTGGAAAGGATCTTGCTTATCCACGTAAGTAAAGACTTACTGCCCTCAAAACCCTGGCACTGAGTATCTTGCCTTAGCTGCCCCTGTTT